AGACGCAGATCCAGGAAAAAGCATCTATTTATGCATTCTAGGCATTATTTAAAGTGCCTACTAGATAAGAACAAATTAACTTTCCAAATGTGGAGACTAAAGACTTTGCTACCTACTTGGAGAGACTGAGAGTGTTTACAGTCCAGAAGAAGAGGAATATGGATTTGAGACTGGGGACAAAGTTATTTGTGACATTTTTATGACATATTGGTCTGGTTCAATAGAGCATACAGCAGATTGACCGGTTGTTACCCTGAATATCGCATTGTGCTTCTAATTTCTAGTGGAAAATAACAGCCTCAGTCAGGAAGCTGCATGCCAAAACTTTGTAGAGCAAAATTTGTGTTGTGCAATGTGGCAAATGGAGACTTTCAGTGGTTTTAAAGAGTAACAAAGACCACAATTTTGGGTCTGCTATCATGTTTCTCAATCATCTCAACCACAACACGTTCTACACAAGATGACTTTTGCAGCAGCATTGCCTGTGCATGGCTTTGAGCCTCTCAAGAACTTTACGTTTATTTAAAGAAACAAAAACAAGTCAGAGAGCATTTTCCATTCAAAACGATAGAATATTGAAACTAGCAGTAATGCTATAAAACCAGGTTCTGTTTCACTTCCGCATTGGTTCAGATTCCACCTCGGGCCACATTGTCCCTTTGATTCCTGCTGTTTCACCTTCCCTTATATGACTATTGCCTGTTCTCCTGCTGTGAGCCAACCTGCCGCATAGAAAAACAAATAGACTTCCCCATGGAGAAAGGGTCTCCACAAATAGGAGCTTCCAGAGGAAGAGCTCTCCTGCCGGGCACACACACACCCTGCCCTTTCTCCGGTGAAAGCTGAAGTCCTGTCTTTGCACTCGGTGACATATGAGCAGGGATGTTCACACTCATGTGCTAAATGAAAACACAATGTTAAGTTTGTGTCTGCATGAGATCATCTATGAGCAGACATCTTGTTAGAAAAAAGTTAGGTGTCTTTAAAAATAAACCAAAAAAAAAAGTAAAAAAAAATGTTATTTAGATGTTTAAGATCTTGTTTTTCAGTTTGTTTTAGTTGCCATAGATCTACATCGAGCAAAGCAACCGAAGCAGCACTCAGATAGATGGCCACGCATTTGGGCGCTTCCTGCTGCGTCTTGCTTTCAGTCTGCAGCTATTTCCGAGCTTATTGATGTGTCTGCCAACTGGGAGCTTTCTAAACAACTACCCTGCTGCAACAGGTTACAAGTCCAGCTCTCCGCTCATTAGACTCTAATTGATTGTAATCTGGCCTTTGAGAAGTACTGGCTCACTGTGGGGTTGTTCTGCACATGCGAGTGCCCCCACTGTCCCTTCTACTTGTGCACCTCACTCACCAGCGGGGTCTGGAGTACAGACACAATTGGTCCTCTCAGATGGGATCGTTAAAGCGGGCGGGTTAGCATGAGCTCTTTTATACATCAGACCTCTGTCGACCAGCTTGAGACTGGGGACAGTGGCCGCTCCGCCTGCCCAGTGGGAGAGCCCCATCCTGGGCAGCCTATTGTTGGCCTCAGACCTCGACCAGCAGCCTGCAGTTTTGGCTGCATTGGCTTATTTGTTTACCGGGGTCCTGGTTTAAAGAAAGTCTAGCAGGGGAGGTGGGTCATATTGGTTTTGAGAGCTGGAAGAAAAATGTCAAAATGTTAAATTCTATTGACTTCCCCCTACTGCTGTTTGTTTCTATGGCAAAAAGCCTAGTGGGCCATTACTGTAAACAGGGTTTTGTCTTAGGGATCAACTTCCAGCAGGAGTTCACGGAACAAAACCCAGAGATAGTGGGTCGGCTCTGGTTTTAAGTTGGCTGATCTGAGAGACACCTTAAAATGACAAAGACGGAGAAACAAAAAGGAAAAGCAAAGTGAACGAATTCTTGGAAAAGTCAACATAATCTTACATTGTACTATTTTTTTTTACTTCAAATCCTCAAAACCATCAATCCTTGCTTGTCTGTCATTGCTTTCCAGTTCTCACAGAAACATTTTGAGTAATTTTTCAAAGGGTCAGTGGGTAAAAGTGAAAAACAGCTGATTTACAGCAGCACATTTTCCCTTCCTGCTGATCCCAACTCTGGTTGTTGTCCCTCCAGGAATATAGGATTCTTTATTTTAATAAATGCAGAGCCGTAAAACTCTAATCCTAGATTGTTTCCCGCCCTCCTCTTCCTTTGCTTTCACCAGTCCTCCTTTATGTCTTTTGCTTGTTTAAACCAAACGTTTTAGGGTGGCAGACTTTTGTGTCACTCCAAGAAGCCACTTCCTCCATAGGGAGTCGGGGAGGGACAGTCGAAGCATTAACGCCTACCCACATAAAGGGACAACATTTATATTGAACCAGAAATGGTTTCTTTTTTGTTCCTATTCATTTCTATTGTATTAATCACATAATTGTCACTGTTAACTTACAGAATTGCTCTTATAACCTTTAATAAATTGCCAAATCCTGTTTTTGAAAGCATGCATCACTACAAGGTGATACATCTCTAACAAACAAGTCCAACAAAAGCTGCAGCATGCAAAGTGACTTCATGCATACTGTGTTTGAATCTCTGCCTTAGAAGTTTCATGAGGTTTGCATATTATCCCCATGAGCCACTTTATTGGTTTATTGTATGTGTTACTTCTACTATTGAAATCTGCATTTCATTTAACTGCGATGCAACATCTTAAACTTATCAGGAGTTGGTTTGATAACAGAAGATTAAAATGTTGTGCTGTTTAGAACATGGGAGGTAGAATTGAACCCAATCATGACTTCTGACGGGTCACTAGGTTTCTAAGATTTAAATCATTTACTGGACACCATCAGATTTATGCTGCTGCTTCTGCAGAAGATTAAGACACAGCAGGGTGTGGAATTAGAAAGGCTTTAATGGCATTTATGACCTTTGATCATTAGATGCTCCTAAAGCCCAGTTTACATTGCAGGTCAATCATGTCAACTTTTGACAATCCCCGCCCCTTCTGGTGGTGCATGATTACCATGAAGGCTCCAAAAATAATCCTATCAGATGACCCTACCTTGTGCAGTGTGTTATGAGCACTCTGGTACGCTAAGAAGGACGTCAGGACCACTCCGATCATGTCAATCATAGGATTGTCCTGGTCTAATCTTTTGGTACAAACACATTGCATGTTGAATGTGACGTCTAACCAATCAGAGAGCACAGAAACTGAAGTATGCAGCATGCCCCTTCTCTGCCATGTTTGGTTACGTTAATGTCGTAGTTTATCTTACAAGATTTCCCATCTGAGCAAGGAATGTTCGTGAATGAAAGCAGTTCATATTCTAACATCTCTGCTCTGTTTGGCTCACAGCAGCATGACTCTATTGTTGACTCTGTTTGCTTTGCAACGTTGATGTTTTATCTCCACAAATAACACAAGCCCGAGAGAGCTCTGCCGTCTTTTGGAGATGCTGAAGCTAAAGTTAGCTTCTACTTGCTGATATGCACTCTGCTCTCTCCTGGATGTTTGATCAACTACAGCCTTTCCCATCACGAGTCAAGAGGGGTGAGTTCATTTTTTCGATGTGACATGCAATTGTCAGGCTTTTCTAATCCGAATGTTTCCTTCAGCGGCTAATGCAGGAAATAGGGACAGAAGACTATTTACATGTATTTTATCTATCTATCTATCTATCTATCTATCTATCTATCTATCTATCTATCTATCTATCTATCTATCTATCTATCTATCTATCTATCTATCTATCTATCTATCTATCTATCTATCTATCTATCTATCTATCATCTATCTATCTATCTATCTATCTATCTATCTATCTATCTATCTATCTATCTATCTATCTATCTATCTATCTATCTATCTATCTATCTATCTATCTATCTATCTATCTATCTATCTATCTATCTATCATCCATCCATCATCTATCCATCCATCATCTATCTATCTATCTATCTATCTATCTATCTATCTATCTATCTATCTATCTATCTATCTATCTATCTATCTATCTATCTATCTATCTATCTATCTATCTATCTATCTATCTATCTATCTATCTATCTATCTATCTATCTATCTATCTATCTATCTATCTATCTATCTATCTATCTATCTATCTATCTATCAACAAGTAAGAAATTGATTCTCATTAAACTTGGTCTCTAACGAGACAGCACATGTAAAGATGGAGGCCTCAGCTAATCTTCATTAGTGTAAATGGGTACCAGTAAATTCAGCAAATGTTAAACCACTCATTGTGCAACATCTGCATAAAACTTTGCCATTAACTTTTGAAATCAACACGTTTTGTCTGTTAGCAATATATCTCCTGAACCACTGAATGTATTACAAAAACTCTTGGAAAGTAATCATCACACCCGCTTTATAAATGGTTTTTGAGTGAACTTTACTAAAGAAGTTTAAGCTAAGAGCCGTTCATGGCACATGCAATTAGACAGCAAGACTTTGCAATACGAGACCAAACCTTTAACGGTTTTTGTTCTTATTCAGTAACTAAAGTATTGCATAAGTCTGAGAAACCCTCACTAACACTCTGCAAGTATACTGAAATACGGCAGGAAAGTGTCTGTGTTGTGTTTGACTGAAGCAGAAAAAGTCTAGAAGTAGAGAGGAAGGATTCTGCTACCATGGTGAGAGTGCACACATCAAAAAAATGTAATAGTGGTGAGAGGTGGGCACACGTTGTTACGACACATCCTCCACACCCCCCAGCAAACACCCCACAGTTTGCTTCAGTAAGGTTGACTTTACATAAACATATTTGCTCTTTGTGATTGCCAGCTTTTCACCAGCTCTTTCTGGTGAGAGAATGAGCAAACATCTCCTCACCCCATGTGCACTTGCTGTAAACCAATGACTGAAAGACCAGGAACAAAAGAGGGGAAAGAGCAGTCAAAAAGGTAAAGAAAAGCACTCTGAAAGCTCTGAAGTTTAAAAAGAGGATAAATAAACCATGTTTGATTTCACAGCAGAAAAGGAGTCAGGGAAAACACAAAAAGGGCATGCTTTTATTTATCTTTTCCCTTCAAATTTTCATGCAAAAAAAAAAAATACTGTTTCCCAGTAGAAAGGAATAAGTGTTTGCTGTTGGTGACACAGTTTCAAAGAAGTCAACTGTGATGTTGCAGTAGGCTGTGGCTCACAGTGACCACAGATTCAGGGCACTGTTGGACAAAACTAACACCTTACTGTGAATGATCCCCTTAAGAGCGGACATCCTCCTCTCCTAGGCCAAATAAACTCATGTGATGAGTTTGTTGCTTCATTTTCTCAAACGACCAACCATTCAGATGATTTCACTTTTAATTTCAGCCATGTTTTTATCGGAATTTCTGTTAAATTACAATCCATTCAAAAATAAACATGAGTACCTAGCTACTACTTATTTACGTTCAGCTAAAAACAGTTTAACATAACATTGCTCATTCTGCAACTTAAGCTACTTTTACACTGCAAAGTGACATCATGAGAATGCACCTGTTGTACAACACAGAGCTGAGTGCCCAGGAAGCAGCTGCCCGGCTATTGTTGTCTCCAGTTTTGGTTTATGGACTACATGAGCCTCCAAACAAAGCTTCTGTGGATGACAAAGACCTAAGTAGGAGATGTGAAGCACTCAGTTTTAAATGAACTGCAATGCCAGACATAGCAGTCAAGCTGATGGTGTAAAGGAAAAGGGATGATTAGTTCACACTTAGGTGTCTGTCCTGCCATACGGTTCTGGTCTTTTACACTAAAACATGTTAATCATAATCAGTTGTGTCCCCAAAAAGGGCGAACTGTGTATTTCCTTGTTTGTTTGATTGTGTGATAACACTTTACAACAAGGGTCCTTTATTAACATTTCTTAGTGCATTATTAAGCATTAACAAACCATTGCATGAAGTGTTAACAATTATGCATTATATAGCATTACTAAACATATTATTGAATGCATTATTAAGCGGTTACCGATTACGTTTTAGCAAATGTTAAAAAAGTTGTTTGAAGGATTTAATCACATTTATGTTTATGTGTATGTATTTAGCAGACGCTTTTGTCCAAAGCGACTTACAAGTGATAATCGGCATGTTGCCCTTGAGGCTAACAACAACAATAACAACAATAACGTGACATAAATCATGGGGAGTAGGGAACAAGGAGTGGACAGTAGAGAGGGAGGATGGGTGATGCTCTCTGAAGCGCAGGATCTTCAGGAGTTTCTTGAAATTTGAAAAGGAAGCTGCAGTTCTGGTAGTGCTTGGAAGGTCATTCCACATTTGTGGAACGATGCATGAGAAAAGTCTGGATTGTCCTGAGCGTGGTGTAGGCACTGCTAGCCGACGATCCTGTGATGACCGGAGCGGCTGGGCCGAGACGTAAGCCTTTGCAAGAGGATTCAGGTAGATGGGAGCCGTACCATCTTGGACTTTGTATGCTAGTGTTAGCAATTTGAATTTGATGCGTGCCGCTAGCGGTAGCCATGGTGGAGCTCAATGAACAGAGGGGTGACGTGTGCTCTGGACCATTTGTAGAGGTCTCACAGTACAGGCTGGAAGACCAGTTAGAAGGGTATTGCAGTAATCGAGGCGGGAGATGACAATTGATTGCACCAGGAGCTGGGTGACATTTATGGGTGAAACAGCAAACCACATCTATCTGGAAGAAAAAAACAAAACAAATAAACAGACAAAAATGTGGTATGTGTTTAATTGAGTCAGAAGAAACAAACAAAAGAGAATTTGGATCATTTCTAGGTTTCTTTTTGGGGAAGAAAACCATAGCTATTTATGTTTAAGATGAAACCTAAATGGAAAATGGAGCAAAACATGAAAATGCCATTATGTAAAAAGTATATTCTCCACATTTTAGCTCAAAGTTGAGCTTGTTGCAGGAGCAAGGCTGACTCCATCAGGGCTGTGTGCCACCAAACCCTTTTTCTTGTGCTCCATCAAGTCCATTAAGACTTTAAGGCATATATGCTGTGGCTCTGTTGGCATCTTAAAGCCAGGGACCTCAGAGTGTCCTGGACTGGTTCACAACTAGTGTGAAGTCACCAAGACGAGAGTCATCTCACCTAAATCTGAGGCTGTGGTTTTTGACCAAAAACAGTGAACTCTTTGCCTGTTTTGGGGTCAAGTCTCAACCTCAAGCTATTAAGAGTTTATGTAGCTTTAGATCTTGATATGAGTGAATGCAGGGCATCCTGTACATACATTTATGTTCAAATATAGAGTGACTTTTAAATCCACACCTGGAGATTTCCCAGGTAAGGCTGGAAGGGGGATGGATTAACTAAGCTGTAGCAATTTTAAAGATACTCTAAAGCAGCCTTTGACTTTGGCAAATTAAAACAAGGGTTTGACTAATGTGATTTAAGTAGAATGACATGCAAGCAGCAAAAATTTCACGTTTTGTCTCCCAAAACATCACACTTCTGTATCTGTTGGAGGCACTGTTGGTCACCCTGGATCATAGCTGCACCCAAAAGTAGGATTCAGTCCTGAGAAAAACAAACATCCTTTTAAACATCTGTAAACATAAATCCATAGAATTGGACATTACTTTGTAGGTCATGATTGTCATGAGTGTATAAAATTATGACAGCCCATATCAGCATTTGTGCTTTGATGCACTAAACCAGTTTAAGTGAAATATGAAAACTGTTTGCCTTCCAAATCTAAGCGTTAACAGCTGTTCACCAGAACAGTTTGTGTTTTCAAGCAAAAACCTGGAACAAAAAATGTTCTACGTGCTTTTTTACACACAATAAAGAAGCAGATCCACTAATCCAGTGCCACAGGTGCACAAATACCTGTGTAAGCAGAGTTAATACTGATAAAAGCACCTGAAAGAAAAGAAAAAGGAACAAGGAAAAAGTTCCCACACTTTGACTGTTTTGTTTCTCTGTGTCCCTTTTTCCAGTCCTGCCAAAATGCAAAGCAGTGTGCCAGCCCTGAATGAAAAATAATGATAGGGGAGTGAAAAAGAATAGACTAGAGAAAAACTAACACTGACTCGTGTAACTCACCTGTTGGTGAGAGTTTTTGTTTGGTGTTCATTCAGACAGCAGGCGGCTGGACGGCCCCTCCCTGAGGCTGCCTCGGTTCCCAGGTACAGAGACGAGAGATGGGAGGAGAGTTCCCACCACGCTCCTTAACCGTTCTCACCACAGCTCATTGGTCGAAGGTTGCCTCATCGTTGAAACATGACACGGCTGCAGCCGTGCAGGCAGGTGTATGAAGCTGCAGGGCAGAAAGAGCTGGTGAGTGTGTGCCAGACACGAGGACAAAGAGACGTGCGAGGGGGAGGAGGGTGGTGAGAAAGTTTCTCTCAGCTTTGTCATGTCATCAGACTCTTCATGGAAAGCACATGTGAGATGTATTTGTTGATCTTGTTGTATGCTTGGTAGCAGTCACTTTGTGTTCAGCAGCTGCCTCACCAACCTGAAGTCATGTGTACACAAACAGAGGGGTATTTTGCCAATACATAGGCAAATGAGCCCTTTTAAATCAAATGGTGGTGGTTCCCACATGGCGTACCGCAATCACTTCTGCCTTAACGGGGAGAAAAAGAGGATGTTCATCAAAATGTTACAGCTGTCACAGCTTTCTTCTCCGTCAGACGCACAAACCAGCTTAAACATACAACTAAAAGTACTGAGAACAGTTAATTCTTGTCATGTTGTGTGGTAGATGCCTAACCCACGACATACAGAATCAGTCCACAGAGTCAAAGAAGATCGCAAACAATAATTTATTAGTAAAGGAGAACAGAAGGAGCTGCTAGGAAGTCTAGCAGTATTCGGCAGAGAAGCGAGGTTCGGGTGTGGAGGATCCTGGAGGAACAGGGAGAGTTAGGTCTGGCACTCGGAAATCTGAATGTTGGATCTGATGGAACTTACAGGTTGGAGGTGAGACCTCGTGAGAGAGGGAGGAGTGACCGGTCTGGGGAGGGCAGGAGGCTTACTGGAGGCTGATGTTGAGGGTCTGACCTCATGAGGAAATTACTATGCAGTGATTTTCTCCAAAATGACTGTGCTTAAATTGCTCTGAAAAGCAAATAATCACATCAGCGCCAAGAAACTTCATTTCCCATGATGCTTTGCACACAGAAGCATTGTGATGACGTCACCGCCTAATACCAGAAACACATTCTGTGCATGTGTGGGAGTCACAGAGCTTTCCCGCCAACTCAGACCATAAATCATCAGGAAAGACAAAGGAACCTCAATCTTTTGCCCAGGATACCTGGCGGTAAGGACACGCTTGTCGAATGCTCCGACTCCCTTGAGCACGCGGAAGCTCTAAGTGCCCAAGTTGAGCCCACGGGACCGCTGGGAAAAACTAAACTGCAAGCCCATCAGATCTGCTCGTTTCTGCTCCCCTCCAGCTGATGTTTGAGGACACAGAACTGCGGAGGAAAGCAACAACTCCATCCAGCTCTGAGACGCTGTAAGTTGTCAAACTCAGCACAAAAGAAACTTCGTTCTCTTTGTGTCCAGCCCGTGGGAGAAACACTCGTAGAACGCCAAACAACGGAGAAAGCATCAAACCGACGGACGACGCCAAACTGCGGAGAAACACGGAGAAACACGGAGAACCGTCAAATCAAACAGCGGGGGACGCCTTGCTGTTCTGGTGATCAGAAACTCATCTCTTTCTCTCCTTCTTCTTCCGTTTCCTCTATAGTCCAGAATAAGCAATAAAACCGCGCTATTGCTTAAAAAGTAGCTTCGTGTTTTCCTCTTTCGCTCCCAATACGTCCGTCGGGTCATTTTGAAAGAATAAACTGCTTATTGATCATTGTTTGGTATCTTTAAATGGTTTCTGCTTGGCCACGTGGTTAAACTAAAAGATATTATTCGTGATTAATCTTTTGTGTTGTTTCATGATCCTTTGAAATGTTTTGAGTGAATTTAAGGTTAAGTTACTTATGATTCTAAGTGCCTTGGAAGTTAAAGTCCAAGTTGCCACCCACACTTTAGCCAGACAAAGGGGTCAGCCATCTTGCATACAGACTCCATTTTAGAAACACACACACACATACATACACACAAAACACCTTGAACATTATTTTGAATATACATCCTTTTATTATATCACATGGTTATTATTCATTTATGCCACCGTTTATTCATTTGACAAATTGTTAATTAAACGTTATAAAATTCAGATTTGTCTCCAGTAGCTTTGTTGTGTCGAAGAGAAGTCTCTGCTCCGAGGATTCTACGAACTTCAAGAAAGACTGATAAGAGTTTTGGATTCAATTTTTCCCCGGTTAAAGGGGAATGGTGCCCCTTATATCTAAGAATATCTTAATTAATTAATAAATCAGTAAATATTCCCATATTTACAGAATTTATTGAAGAATCCAAAAGTAAGTTAAAGCTTACGAATTGTTTGCTCCTAATAACCCCAACACTGATGAGCTTGGAGTCCAAATGAGGAGGGAGCTGAGCATGAAGGGTAATGGTGATCCAGGAGGGAGGGTGGGCAGCCTGGAGTGGGAAGACCAGAGGAGGACGCTGAGAGACGAGTGGACAGTGAAGAAACCAGGTTGGTAGCAGCAAACGAGGTGAACTGATAGGTGATATCTGCAGGAGGCAAAACAAGCAGTCAAAAACACAGAGAGCTCAAAAATCAAAAATCCATAACCCAGAAATTCTCAAAATCAAAACTTAGTTTGGATTTGGCTGTTAGGAGAAATACCCAAGTTGAGTTAATCATCCAGCGAAGTGAAGGCGTCTCTCAGGAGCTTAAATATCCCTGGCCAGCTAATCAGCAGATTACCTGCAGCCTCCCCACTTCCAGGCACGCCCACCTGCAGAGGAGAGATGAGACTCTACACCAATTAGTGTGTGAAAAAACCCCAGACCGTGACAGTACCCCCCCCCCCCCCCCCCCCCCCCCCCCTCAAGGGATGCCACCCAGCGTCCTGGCAGAGGAGGAGGAGGCGGAGGAGGAGGCAGAATGGGCAGCCTCAAAATCCCTAATGAGGGAGGGGTCGTCAATCCAGGACCCCGGGACCCATTGCCTGTGCTCGGGCCCATAGCCCTCCCATTCCACCAGATACTGGAGACCTCGGCCATGACGCCTAACGTCCAGGAGGCGCCGGACCTGAAAACCGAGACCCCCATCAGCCAACCGAACCGGAGGAGGAGGAGCAGGAGGAGGGCAAAGGGGACTGGAGGAGACAGGCTTCAGGAGGGAAACATGAAAAACCGGATGTACCTTCATATGAGGGGGAAGCTCCAAACGGACAGACGAGGGATTGATGATTGAGGAGATGGTGAAGGGGCCGATGAACTTGGGGGACAGTTTCTTGCAGCGGCCCTTCAACGCAATATCCCGGGTCGACAGCCAAACGCGCTGACCAGGCACATAGTCTGGAGCCGGCCTCCGGTGACGGCCGGCTAAACGCCGGTTACGGTCAGCAGTCCTTTGCAGGGCCTTCTGCGTGGCTGACCAGGTACGCTTTGCACTCCTGAGGAACTGGGGGATGGAGACGACTGAGGAGGGAAACTCAGAAGGAAACAGGCAGGGCTGAAAATCAAGGGAGACCTCGAAAGGAGACAACCCGGTAGAAGAGGAGACATGTGAGTTATGGGCGTATTCGATCCAGGGTAGTTCTAAACTCCAGCGGGAGGGGTTGGAGGAACATAAACAACGGAGCATGGCACCTAGTTCCTGATTCATCCTCTCACACTGGCCATTAGATTGAGGATGAAATCTGGAGGTGAGGGCGACCTTGGCCCCGAGACAGGCGGCAAAATCCCTCCAGACTCGAGAAATGAACTGGGGACCTCGATCAGAGAGTATTTCGAACGGGATGCCATGTAACCTAAAAACGTGTTTCACCAAAAGTGCAGCTGATTCTGCAGCTGAAGGGAGGGCCTTTAAGGGGATGAGATGGCAAGCCTTAGAAAAACGGTCAACTACTGTCATGATTACTGAGAAGCCATGAGAAGGAGGTAGGCCAGTTACAAAATCCATGGCGATGTGGGACCATGGTCTAGACGGAACGTGTAATGGGTTGAGTAAGCCAGAGGGTGATTGATTACTGGTCTTATTGCGGGCACAGGTCTGGCAGGCGGCAATGTACTCCTTAGTGTCCTTAAACATAGTTGGCCACCAAAAGGTCCGTCTGATCAATGCTACCGTACGACTAACCCCAGGATGGACAGAAAACCTAGCTGTATGCCCCCAGTGGATTACCTTGCTTCTGACCGAAGGGGGAACAAATAATGTGTTTGGGGGTACCTTGCTTGTGCCCGGAGTGGTCTTGAGGGCCTCCCAGGTTACTGACCCAATGACACAGTCAGGAGGGAGAATGGATGCTGGTTTTGGATTGGAGTCAGCCGAAAACTGTCGGGATAGGGCGTCCGGTTTGATGTTCTTAGTGCCTGGTCTGTAAGAGAGGACAAAATGGAACCGTGAAAAGAACAAGGACCACCTAGACTGTCTGGGATTCAACCTCTTTGCCTCCTTCAAATAGGCGAGGTTTTTGTGGTCTGTCCATATGATGATGGGGTGCTCAGCTCCCTCCATCCAGTGCCTCCACTCCTCCAGGGCAAGTTTCATGGCCAGGAGCTCCCGGTCCCCCACATTATAGTTTCTCTCGGCTGGGGAGAGGCGCCGGGAAAAAAAAGCACAGGGGTGGAGACGGTGATCTGAGGGAGAAACCTGGGATAGGACGGCACCCACACCTGTATCCGATGCATCCACCTCGAGTGTGAATTGCCGAGAGGGATCTGGTCGGGTAAGAACCGGTGCTTGAGTAAACTTGTCTTTGAGGGCAGAGAAGGCACTCTCGGCTGTGGAATCCCAAACAAAAGGTCTCTTGATGGAGGTTAACTGAGTCAGCGGACTGGCAATCTGGCTGTAGCCCTTAATGAAACATCTGTAGAAATTTGCAAAACCCAGAAATCTTTGCAGCTCCTTACGTGTTGCGGGTGTTGGCCAGCTCTGTACCGCTTGGACCTTCTCAGGATCTGGTCCCAGTCTCCCACTCTCCAGAACAAAACCCAGGAACTTCACACTCGGGACATGGAATTCACACTTTTCCGCTTTCACGTAGAGGCGATTTTCCAAAAGGCGGTGGAGAACAGCACGGACATGTTTGGAATGCTCTTCAGGTGTCCTCGAAAAAATCAAGATATCATCAAGATACACAGTAACAAACTTGTTCACAAAATCAGCCAAAACCGAGTTCACCAAAGACTGAAAAACAGCTGGGGCATTGGTGAGCCCAAACGGCATTACCAAATACTCGAAATGTCCCACTGGTGTCTTAAATGCCGTCTTCCATTCATCACCCTCCTTTATTCGGACGAGGTGGTATGCATTCCTCAGGTCGAGTTTGGTGAAGATGGAGGCATCTTGTACAGGCTCAAAGGTTGACGATAACAAAGGTAATGGATATTTGTTTCTTACTGTTATCTGGTTGAGTCCTCGATAGTCGATACATGGTCGGAGAGTGCCATCCTTCTTTGTAACAAAGAAGAACCCCGCTCCCAGAGGGGATGTAGACGGTCGGATTATGCCAGCTGAGAGTGATTCTGAGATGTATTTTTCCATACACTCACGTTCTGGTCTTGAGATGTTGTAGAGACGGCTAGATGGAAGAGGAGCTCCAGGAAACAAGTCTATAGCACAATCAAAAGGCCTATGGGGGGGTAAGGAGGAAGCTTTATCCTTTGAAAATACCCAGTAGGTCGAAATATTCCTTGGGGACACCAGTGAGATCGGGAGGTGGTTGTTCAGGGGTTCTGCACTCAGAGCGGATTCGAGCTGTGCCCAGACAGGAAACGTGACATTGGTTGCTCCATTCCTCCACCCTGTTAGACACCCAGTTGATGCGGAGATTGTGGAGACTTAACCAGGGCTGCCCCAAGACGATTTCTGACTGGTGACATGGAAAAACAAAAAAGATCAGTGATTCATGATGATTGCCAGAGATCGAGAGGTTAACCGGAACAGTTTTATGGGTTATAGAGGTTAGGAAGCTGCCATCTAAAGAAACAACCCTCGTTGGGGCCTCGAGTGGAATAGTGGTTATGCCGAGCCGATCAACTAGTAGTTGGTCTAATAGGTTCTGTTCACATCCAGAGTCAATCAGGGCTCGGGTGGATATTGAGGTTTTACTGAAGGTTAAAGAACAGTCTAAAGCACACCGAGACTTCATGAGTGCAGATGAACCGCCCACCAGTATCCTAGGTTCTACTGGTGGGCTCTGGAGTTTAAAGTCTTGGGACAGTCAGACACGAAATGGCCAGCTAGGCCACAGTACAAACAAAGACCAGATCTCATTCTTTTATCTCGTTCCTCCTGGCTTAGTCTAGCCCGGCCCAACTGCATGGGTTCGCTGGGGAGAGAGGTAGGTGCTGGTTGGGCCGCCCTGGACTGAGTATGGGTCTGAAGATGAAAAAACGAAATGTTACCTTTATGACGGTCATTCAGTCTCCTCTCGATCTGGTTGCAGAGCATTATCAAGTCCTCCAGGTTTGTGGGTTCCTGGCAGAAAGCCAGCTGGTCTTGGAGGTGCTCGTTTAAGGCTTGTGAAAACGCCCCTTTTAATGAATCCTCGTCGAGAGTGGAAGCCGATGCCAGGGTCCTAAACTCGATGGCGAAGTCAGCCACTGATTGCTTGCCTTGGCTGAGGTTCCAGAGCCGTTTTGCTAGCTCTGAGGCGGGCTCGGATTTGTCAAATGTCAAGTTAAACTCGGATAAAAACTCAGTAAATGGGCCCGCAAGGAAGTTCGGAGAACGGCTCTTGGCTTCTGCCCACCTGAGGGCCTTGCCGCGCAGTAATCCGACAATGTAGGAAATCTTGGCTGCGTCGGTTGCAAAAGACTCCGGGGAGCGTTGGAAAGCCAAGTTACACTGGAGGAGGAAACCTCTACAAACGTTTCGATCCCCGTCGAACGTCTCGGGGGGAGGAGACAAGGCAACCCGGAAGTTGGGCGGGATGGATGGTGCCGAGGTAACGGGTCCGGGCGGACTCGGAGCTGGAGGAGCAGAGGGTTCCGGATTGGTGAGCTGTTCACTTAATTGTTTAACCATCGCACCCAACTGAAACAGAGTCTGGTTAGCGTCTGACAGTTGTTTGGTGAGGGAATGAAGGGCTAAACTGTGTTGTGATAAGGTTTCGGTGATAACAGGTGGAACAGATTCGGTACTGAGGTTAGGATTCTGGCTGGATGATTCTGTCATGTTGTGTGGTAGATGCCTAACCCACGACATACAGAATCAGTCCACAGAGTCAAAGAAGATCGCAAACAATAATTTATTAGTAAAGGAGAACAGAAGGAGCTGCTAGGAAGTCTAGCAGTATTCGGCAGAGAAGCGAGGTTCGGGTGTGGAGGATCCTGGAGGAACAGGGAGAGTTAGGTCTGGCACTCGGAAATCTGAATGTTGGATCTGATGGAACTTACAGGTTGGAGGTGAGACCTCGTGAGAGAGGGAGGAGTGACCGGTCTGGGGAGGGCAGGAGGCTTACTGGAGGCTGATGAGCTTGGAGTCCAAATGAGGAGGGAGCTGAGCATGAAGGGTAATGGTGATCCAGGAGGGAGGGTGGGCAGCCTGGAGTGGGAAGACCAGAGGAGGACGCTGAGAGACGAGTGGACAGTGAAGAAACCAGGTTGGTAGCAGCAAACGAGGTGAACTGATAGGTGATATCTGCAGGAGGCAAAACAAGCAGTCAAAAACACAGAGAGCTCAAAAATCAAAAATCCATAACCCAGAAATTCTCAAAATCAAAACTTAGTTTGGATTTGGCTGTTAGGAGAAATACCCAAGTTGAGTTAATCATCCAGCGAAGTGAAGGCGTCTCTCAGGAGCTTAAATATCCCTGGCCAGCTAATCAGCA